TCATGGATACAGTGGGTGGAAGGTCAAATGACGGCCAACTTACAGCAACCACGGCAGAAGTAACCTGGCATCAGCTGATCTCAATAGATTGAAGGGTGTGTTTCAATCAACCATGTTAAAATTAGCCAATGGCGGATCTGTTTTTCTCTCCTAAGCTGCCCCGGACACTACTTATTTGTCAAATAGTTGTACTGTGGTGGGGTGTGTGTTGCTGTGAAGGTGGAGGCTATGTCTGTATTTTAAATTCCAGCAGGGTCACCCAGAATGAACAGGTTTCCGTGGGGCTTCCAGATTACAACGGATTAGGCTTGTCCACTTCTGAAGAAGGAGTCACTGGACAACTTTTGGGTAGAAAGGAAACACTGTCAGATTTAGAAAAGCTAAGGAATAGAAGTAGAACACTGTCAGATACTGCCAGTCGATGAACCCTCAAGTCAGAAAGCATTAAAAATCTGACCTAGGAAGAGCTACCTTCTCAAAGTAGTCAACAATAACAGCTTGGATGGAGTAAAGCAAGCAGGAGTAAAGCCTTCAGGACATTCATTTGCTGATGGATGTGACTCAAAATGAGAAGCAACCGCTGCAAGTATCCACTAATAGTCAGACCTTGGATATTATGAAGTCTAGGAATGTCTGAATCTAGGAAAATTAGAAGTTCTCAAAAAAAAAAAAATGGAGCCCATGAAGATCAATATTCTAAATGTTAGTGAGCTGAATGGTATTGGACGTTTTGAATTAGGCAGTCACATGACTTACGGTGCCAGGAATGACAGATTGAAGAGGAATTAAGTCACATTCACGGTCAAACAAGACATTTCAAGATCTATTTTGAAATACGATGCTGTCTTTGATAGGGACAATACCCCTCGGCATACAAGGAAATTCAATGAAGACAACTACTATTCAAATTTACGCAGTAACCACTAACACTGTGATGCAGAAATTGAAGAAATCTACCAACATCCTCAGTCTGATCAACCGTGTAATCAAGATGCATTGATAATTACTGATGACTGGAATATACAAGTTGGAACCCAATGTGGTTCTGGTGACAGAAATGCAGCTGGAGATTGCAAGATAGAATTCTGCCATTCCAACTAATTGAAAAGACCTTTTTTCCTTTTTCCTAAAATCATTTTATTGGGGGCTCGTACAACACTTATCACAATCCATACATCCATTATGTCAAATACATCTGTTGCCATCATCATTTTCAAAACACTTTCTTTCTACTTGAGCCCTTGGTATCAGCTTCTCATTTTTCCCTTCCTCCCTCATGAACCCTTGATCACTTATAAATTGTTATTTTTTCATGTCATACACTGTCTGATGTCTCCCTTCACCCACTTTCCTGTTGTCCACCCCCTGAAAAGACCTTTTTTCAACAACATAAAAAGAGATTAAGCACACCAACTTCTCCAGATGGAACAAACAGAAATCCAAGCGACTAAATTACGTGGAAAGAGAAAACAGAGCAACTCAAAATTAGCAAGCTAAAAGCAGGCCAGGGGCCTGCTGTAGAGCAGACCATCAGTTATGCATATGCTAGTAGAAGTCGAGGCGGAAGAAAAGGAAAACATGTCCACAAGGGCCATAGTATGACCTTGAGTCTATACCCACCTGAATTTCAAGAACATCTCCAGAACAAATCTGACACACTGAACACTAACGGCAAAAGACCCGGTGAGTTGTGGGGGTATGTCAAGAATATCTTACGTGAAGAAAGTAAAGGGCCACTAAAAAGTAAGGGGAGAAAGAAAAGACCAGTGGAGATGTCAGAAGAGATTGAAGCTTGCTCTTAATTGCAGAGTGGCTAAGGCACATGGAAGAAATGATGAAGTAAACGAGCTGATTGGAAAATTTCAAAGGGCAGCTTGAGAAGGCAAAAGTAAAATGTTATAATGAAATGTGCACTGAGCTAGGGCTAGAAAAACAAAAAGAACACACTCGGTTTATCTTAAACTGAAAGAACTCGAGAAAAAAATCAAGCCTCGGGTTGCAGTATTGAGTCTTTGGACAAGATACTGAAAGATTCAGGAAGCATCAAAAGAAGATGGAAAGAAAACAGAGTCACTGTCTCAAAAACACTAGCCGACACTCAACCACTTCAAGAGCAAGAACCAACAGCACTGAAGGAAGAACTGCAGGCGTCACTGAGCGCACTGGCCAACAGGCTCCAGGAGTGGACGGCAGGCCAACAGAAATGTTTCGGCAAGCAGATGGAACACTGGGAGCCCTCACTCAACTATGCAAGGGAAACTGGAAGGCAGCTACTTGAGTCAACGGACTGGAAGAGATCATATCTGTACCCATTCTAAAGAAAGGTGACCCACCAGAATACTCAGAGTAGAATCATATTGTTGATATCACACACAAGTAAAATTTTGCTGAAGACCTCAACACTTGATTGTCGCAGTACAGTGACTGGGAGCTGCTGGCAGCTGCTGGCAGGATTCAGAAGAGGACATGGAACAAGAGTTATCACTGCTGAGGTCAGATGGATCTTGGCTCAAAGCAGAGATTACCAGAAAGATGTTTATTTGTGTTTTATTGGCTATTCAACTGTATGGATCATAACAAACTATGGCTAGGCTTGAGAAGAGCGAGAATTCCTGTAGAACTTGTACACGGATCAAGAGGCAGTTGTGTGAACAGAACATGGGCATAC